TACTTAAAGGAAATGGCTCACACAATTGTAGGCTCTGAGTAGTCTCAAATCCATAGGTTAAACAATAGACTCATGTGGTTGCAATGCCTGAAAAATCCAAAGCCTGTAGGTGGGGCAACAGGTGGGAGACATCTGCTAGTTTACATGCCAAGAACCAGAGGTCAGATGCCAAGAAGATTGTAGGGTAGAGAGAGAGAGAGCACAACCTTTGCCAGAATTCTATTTATCCCTTGGATGCAGGCCACATCCCAAGGAAACTCCCCTTCCAACTGATTGGCTGCTCACATCAGACCACACAATGGTGGATGATCACACAGTATCTGCCAAACCAATGAGAATCATGGCCTAGCCAAAATGACACATAACATTAGGCATGACAGTTATGAAAGTGAATTTTTGGGAAATATTTTCACTTAGCTTTTGGTTCTTTTCATAAAACACCAATGGCCAAGACTTTCTTTTATTTCCAAGGCCTCCTAATACTTAGCCTACTTTTAAACCTCTAGTACATGCTCAATACATAGATTTTGGTTTATTTTAGCTTGAGTTAGAGAGTTTCATTTCATACTGGATCTCAGAGTTATAATTTCTCTTCATTAACAAAGGGAAACTTAATAATACCGCCTAATAGATGAAACAGCAGAATAGAGAAAAATGATAGTTTTTGTTGTCCTTGGGACAAAGTCAAAGGAGTGATAAAATACTATTTAGGTATTTAAGTAGGGTCCAAAAAAATAAAATAGTCTTCATAGAACCTCAGAAAATCCTAATACAATACCAAAAGGAGAGAGTAAGAGGCATCATCCCCTAATCAGATAGAAAGACTAAAACCTGAATATGATTTCCCAGAGCGAGTAAATATTTTCTAGTTAACAGAACATGCTTTGATTTGCTAAAAGACTGTTTTCCTCAAAGTGTCTTGACACATCTCTGAATAGGTCCCTAAGGATTCAATAAACTGGCTAGTAAAACCCCACCAAACGGTTTGCCCTTGAGTTGATTTTTACTTCTGGTGAGTCCGTGTGTGTAAAGCAGAACTACATTCCACTGGGTTTTCATGGCTGTGAACTTTCAGAAGCAGATCCTCAAGCCTTTCTTCATAGGTACCTCTTAGTGTGTTCAAACAGCTAACATTTCAGTTAGTAGTTGAGCATGTAATCGTTTTTGCCACCCAGGGACAAACTGGCTATAAGATAGTGCAATTCAGATGGCCTAGTGTACCACTTGGGAGCTCTGGTGACATAGTGCATAAGGCACTTGACTGCTAATCAGAAGGCTAATGGTTCAAACCCACTAGCCACTCCTCGGAAGGAAGGTTGGGCAATCTACTTCCATAGTGATACTGCCTAGGGAACCCAAGGAGGGGTCGCTATGAGTCAGATCTGACTTGAGGGCAATGGGTTTGGTTTTGGTTTGGTTAGTGCACCACTTAAAAGGTGCCCTGGTGGTGCTGTGGTTAAGCGCTTGGCTGCTAACTGAAAGGTCAGCGGTTTGAATTCACCAGCTGTTCCACAGACTAAAGATGAGGCATTCTGCTACTATAAAGATTACAGCCTTGAAAACCCTACGGGGCAGTTCAGTTCTGTCTTATAGGGTTGCTTTAAGTAGGAATCAATTCAATTGCAATGGGCTAGTTTCAGGGTTTGGTGTACTACTTAATTCACAAGGAGGAGGTGGAACCTGTGTATTTCTGGAACTTAACTACTGAATCTACTGTAGAGAAGAGCAAATTAGGCTAACCCTTTTTATAACTTACTTTTAAACTTCATTTTACTTGGTATCCAAACCAAACCAAACACACTGCCATCAAGTCAGCTCCGACTCATAGTGACCCCTCCTTGGGTTTCCGAGGCAGTATCACTATGGAAGTAGATTGCCCAACCTTCCTTCCAAGGAGTGGCTGGTGGGTTTGAACCACCAGCCTTCTGGATAGCAGTCAAATGCCTTAGGCATAGCTATGACCTAAGTTGCTCTGGTGGCATAATGGGTAAGGCATTTGGCTGCTAACCAGAAGGTCAACAGTTCAATCCCACCAGCTGCTCTGTGGGAGGAAGATGAGGTAATCTACTATTGTAAAGACTTACAGTCTTGGAAACCCAATGGGGATTGTTATGAGTCAGTATTGACTCGATGGCAGTGGTTTAGCTATGACCTAGGTATAAGGTGAATTATACTTTTCACACAATAGTTTTTCTAAGGTAAAGAATTTCTAATTCAATAAAATACATCAAAACTGTTACACAAGTTTATGATCTCAATTAGGGAGTGGGGGAAGGTTAGACAATCTATCATATTCATTCAAGGAGTTTTTCAATCCACACACATGCACTATCACTCAGGAGACTTGCCATTGGGAGTGTGCCATATACCTCATGCCCACTCCTTTCTTACAAAGATATGAATAGAGGCAAATCTCAAAACTAATTTTGTTGGTAGAGTGAAATAACCTTCATATATGTTCTTCCAAGTCAGGAACATTTCCCTGTACCATGCTATCGGGAAGAGATTGTAGGGACTCAATCTTTCCTTCACAGTGCTTTGAAAACTACAAAATAAAAGTTACATTACAAGCCAATCAACTAGTTCTCAGTTTTCCTCTGCTTGATTAGCTGACATAATTGTTCAGAGTAAGACAGTTTGTCATCTGACAATATATAAATAAAAACTGTTCTGTTTTCGAGAGGCACAGAAGGTCATCATAAGATGGTTTGATGCGTTTGGGATGTCACTTTAGTTTTTGGCTTATGCAATAACCATTTGGGAAATTATTTGCTCTTAGAAGAGATAAGGAAAAAAAGCAAGTACTACAACAAAAAACACAAACCTGGAAATCTTATGCTGCTCAGCAAGTCTTAGAAACAAGTATGCTTTATTATTTTATTTTATTTAAATTTGAATAGATTAAACAAAGTAAAGCAATTGACCACTAAATAAACAGTGATAAAAAGTGGTAAGGCTGTACCCTGTCAAAAGCAGAAAACTTTCAAGATCTGGAAAAACAAGTCTGTCCCATTGATTTCTGGCTTTCAAGGTTTCATCATATTTATGAAAGAACAGTATATTTTACAAAGCTATCCTTAGGAAGATAGGTTTCCAAATATCTGAAAAAAATAGTTAGAATTTGGTACCTTATGCACTTTTATCAAATCTATAGCTTTCATCAGTAATTGTTTAATCCAAATCTCGTTTTATCTTCAGGGAAAAAAATATTTTTTTCAAATTCATTCTGACTCCTTAATTTGGAATCCTACCAGCAGTAGGAAAAATATCCTCAGGTAAATGTGTGTGACTCATCTGCAATCTAGATCAGCCCTCTAGAGGTTAAGAAATTTGTGGTTACCAGGAATCATGAACAGGTTACAAATAA